CCAAAGGCGCCTTTAGAAAAAATAAAGGGTCCGTCTGCTAAAAATGGATATCTGAAAATAGTTCAAAGGGGCTACCTTTTGAGTCGGCAGGGGGGGGCGTCCGCCAGCCACCCCCCCCCCCCACTCCCCACTCCCCCCTAAATCCGCCGCTGAAGAAAATAGTGTTGCTAGCTTGCCAAGAGAGGGTAGGATTTTATATGAAATTTAGAGCCGTACCGCGCCCACGGTCGACCTTAAACCGGACTATTTTGCATTGGACACTTTTTTTTGTTCATTTTGTTATTTTTCGGACTGCTTTGTTTCGGATTGCTATGTATGCGACTGTTTTGTATTTACGCTGTTCGAGTTCGGTCGTACCTGTAACTTTTTGCACATTTTTGTTCGTTTGGTTTCTTCATATTGCGATGTGTGAAGGGCAATTTTCCAAGCTGTTACATGTTTCGGGGGACGCAATAGATTGGAGCTTCAAAATTTTATGGCACTAACTTTTTAGAATAGTTTGAGTATACATCTATTCCAAAAATTAAAAGCCTTATATTTGGGCTATAATTACTTTGAAACTAAATTACTAGCGTAGTTACTCTAATTTAATTTTCTATCTCAATTTTTCTCGTTTCATCTTCATGTTTAATTGTAGAAACTCCAAGATTAGAAACATGTTCAAAAAATTTAAAAAAAACTCTGAAACCAAAGTATTGGGATAATTTTTTTTGGTATTTGTCAAACTCTTAAGCATATCGCCCTTAATTATGGTCGTCAATTTTTCAAAGTTTTCCATCTGTTTTTTTTCCTACAATCATTTCTACCATCCTTAATCAATCAGTGTCCTAGAAATTTTGCGTAGGTACCTTTATGCCTTCAGCCTCAATGTAGAAAGATACAGAAGGGAGCACGCGTAAAAAAAACGTGTTAATTTGCTCAAGAAAAACTTCTTGCACAGATCCTATTCTATTTTAACATAGGATGAACAAATTTGGGCTCTTTTCCAGTTCCCCCCCCCTTTCAAATGCATTTTTGAAAACTTTATTTAACGTTGTCATAATGCAATGAAAATTGGCATGGTGAACAAATCGACAATTATGAACAGATTTGTTCTTCATACTTTACAGTGTAACATCACGCATTTACCCGTAATAACACTTAAAACAAACATAAATATCGATATTTTGAAAAATGGGGGGGGGGGAGTGGAAAAGAGCCCAAATTTGTACTCGATTTTGTTAGTTCACAAAATGTGAAGTTATATTTGCTTTTCGAACAATAAAATCGAAATTTTCTGTTTGTCAAAGATTTTTCTAGTTCGCCACTCAAAGTTTTTCCCCTTTTGATACTAAGTTGCGATCCCCAATTTTGGCAAATTGACCCTAAATTTTTTTGTGAAGGCACCTTAGTTAGACGCCAATACTAGTTTTAAGCGGGAGCGCGCGCCAAAAAGAAGCACTGTTTTTAACTGAAAACATTCCAAAAAACTTTTGCTTTTTGGTCAAATTGAGGTCTTTACAGTGATTTGTAAGTGCTCAGAAATTCCAATTTGGTCGATCTAAAAACGGTCGATAAATTATACGATTTTTTTTGAAAATACGCCCCTCCTTCTCGAGAAAAACCTAGATCCGCCCCGGATAAATGTGCAAACATCTTTGCTTACTCTGCGTCCTTTTATGGCTATAATTAATAATAATTGTAGTTCCTGCGAACCGCCTTAACAGTCCTGTCGAGGATAGTCCATTTGTATTATCTCCCCACATTCCAGACAGTGTTATTTTGTTGAGCGAAGCTCTTTTTTGCGACTCAAGGCCGTTTTTGTGCGTCTAGAACTTTCAAGTGGTACCACTATTGCAGCCAAATTTGGTCAGGTTGTGGTAGACCTGAAGCTAGAGGTCAAGTGAGAGCTCGTCTTCACACACTGTCATTGCCATGGTATGGGATCGATTACACGATCTGACGATTCTAAAGTGAACGCCTTACCACTTTGCTAAGTGCCCCAATGTCTTATTTACAAAAATTTGTTCAAATTTAGTTTTAAAAAACGGAACCCCATTAATGTTACAAAATAACTTTCATCAATATCTCCATCCAGAATCGTTCAGTACTTCATTCAGCTTTGATATCATAAGAAATCTTAAAACCAAAATTGGTTGTCCAGAGTTTCCAATTATGGATTCACAATTTGCATCAAAATTGAGTCGCGAATCTCGACCCGGGTCGAACCGATTATAATTTTTTTATTATAAATTCAGAAAGACGAATAAAATTGCTTAAATATGACAACCCTGCCTTTGAATACGAATTTACTCGTTACGCATGTATTGTCTCGGCCATAATCACTGCACCTTGTAGGCTCATTCTGTTCGAAGATCCTTTGATCCGGCGACAGATGGCAACTTTTCCAGACTTCCAGCTCTCCGGTGTGGTTGGGAAAAATTGGGGGAGAACACTCCCAACATAAAATTCCGTCAACTTTGTTTGTTTGAAACAGCAAAATCACCAACACCGTAAAAATTGTAATAGCAAAATAGTTTAACTTAATTTTTGACTTCATGTCAAAATAGATGCAATTGAAGATCCTCCTAACGGCAATTTTAAAGGAAATTCTGTTAAGACACTGATCAATGAAACCACAAAACTCATAATTTGTTTATAAACAGAGATTCAGTTAATCTTAGTCACAGATTCTGTAATGCAACAACGGTCAAGATGTGATCAAATAGGGAAAACAGATTGACAAAGAAACGCTCAGTTGTAGGTCCTTCGACAATTTTAGGACGACAAAGACTACCCATAATTTAAAATACGGATCTGTTCAAAAAGGAGGAGGAAGTTCGTTACAAGATAGCAAAAATCCGCATCTGCTTAGCCGTTGAATTTTTTCATTATAGGGGTGGCAATTCGTTGCTAGGTAATAAAGAGGGGAAATAGTTAAAGAGATCCGAAAAAACTCGGGAAACGACCTCTGTTTTGCTAACTCTGCTTTAGTGGAGTTTTCCTACGCTGAAGTTAGACACCTTCACTACCCTTTGGTACTATTTTACTGCATAACCTGAAAAATGAACCTAGAAAAATTTATTCTGAGCGGGGATGAGCCGAAAAAACGCCTAAATTTAGAAAACATATTTTACATGACACTTTTTCACGACCAATTTTATTTGAACCTGCGATTTGTGAATTGTATCAGGTTTATATCCTCCCACCCAATTAGAACAAATTAAGATACTCCACCCAAGCGTTCAATTTTAATTAAACTTGCTAAACGCTGCGAGTAAAAAAACTCAATTCTGATTGGCTGAAAAGTTGAACTCAGAATCAAGTTGACATCCTCCCCCCCTTGCTGTTTCGGGTGAAGTTGTGGAGTAGAAACATAGATATTACGATATTACATAAACTTTTGCTACCTTCAAGGTGAACGTTACTATGATTAAAAACAGTTGATTATTAAGAGTACGCGTTGCCAGTGACCACCGTTAAAGTCACGTTGAAGTCACGTTGATTATCTTACGTTTGCTTTTATCGTTACATTGGCAAGTATTGCAAGTGCGTACTTCCACCAAGCTAAAGTCATGCAAGACTACGCGTTCCTAGACGCTGAGGCGACGATGGGGACGTAGGATAGAGTTGAGCACCCCCTAGCACCGGAACCGGAGACAAGCGAGGACACCCAGGGCATGCCCAGAAGGAGTCGGGATCAAGCTAGTCACAAAGCTACTAGGTTGAATGCGCACCGAAAAAGTCAAGCTAGATCAAGATTGGAAATCAAGATAGAAAAAGTCGCAGTCATATTTTGAGTAACTGACTGAGAAAATTAGTCGGGAAACAAATAATTCATTAAGTTATCATTCACAAACCTGACATATTAAGAGATTCAGGTTCAAAAATGATGACGACAGAAGACAACAACAGGCAGTCACTGCAAATTGATGTTACAGAAGGCGGAACTGACATGAACATGCCCAAAGCAGCTGCATTGAAAGCCATGGCAAAAATGCCAGCTGACCATCTAAGGTCAGTCTGGGGCACGGCAGAAGGGCCGCCCCTTATGAAATTGTTATTGCGTTATTAAGTTGTTGTTAAAGGTCATAGTGTTAGAGTGAGTGAGCATGGTGTGATGTTGGTTGATATATCAAGGTTGGTACGAGCCGACCGAGTTAACGACTTGATGTTGAATGAGAGAATCACTCTCTTGTTTTCTGTTGAAAGATACAGGGAATGAAAGATACAGGGGCTACGGGGAAATTGAGGACAAGCTACCGATTGAAATTGAAGTGATAGAAACTCTTGGGGCGATGATGGCGAAAGGCACAATGCAGTTTAGTAACGTTAGCGGAAATTCTAGTGACGCTATTGCAACTAACGACTCGTTTATTGCGGTTGAGATGTAAACTATCAGCATGATAGAAGAAATACAAAAACGGATAGAAAAAAGTGAAACATACAGACTTGAACTTTGCACAGGAGGTAACAAGAGCGATGATAATTAAACCTGCAGCTTAACTGATATTGGACTTTTTATATTATACTATTGCAGTAAAATGTATTAATTTTGTCATTGTTTTTAAAATAATGAAGGGGGTTTGCAGATTAGACCTATATTATGCTCATTAGACGCATAAATATTACAATTTCACATAAATTTGTGCGACCGTCAACGTCATCACTATGTTGATTCTCTTACGTTAATTTATAATTTTAAATTAGCAAGTACTGCAAGTGCATACTTCTACAGGAAAATGTTAAATCGGTACTGCAAATCAGGTCGTAATTTTTCCAAGACAATTTTCTAATTTTTCTTTGTTGATATTTAGTACTACTGAAAAGCCAAAAAATGACAACTATGATCCAAGGCTGACGTTTTTGTATTTGTTCGTTTTTTTGTGAGAAATTTTTTATTAAATTATTGAAAAAAAACAGAAACAATTTCAAAGTTTTAAACGTAAACAAATGACTCGAAAAATTGAAATAGAAGAAAGGCTTAGGCGATTAACTGAATTTTCAAGGAGTAGTTGTTCTAGGAACTTCTCAGTCAGATTCCGAGTCAACAACACTCCCATTTTCTTTGTCTTTCTTTTCCTTCTTGTCTTTACGCTCTTTCCTCTCCGAATCTCTCCTTGACTTTTTTTCTGACTTTTCCTTATGGTGTTTCTTTTCAGATTTTTCGTCCTTTCCTCTGCGCGAGTTTTCACCTTTTTCTCTATCTTCATCCGGTTTCTCGTTTGCTTCATCGTTTTCAATTTCTTCGTCGCTTTTGTTTTCTTTGCTTTTACTTTTTTTCTCCTTCTCAGATTTTTCCGTCTTTGCCTTTTTCCCTGACTTTTCCGATTTTTCTTCATGACGATCACCATGATGTGATTTTTTCTTGTGTTTTAAACTTTTGTTGGCATTTTCATGTTCTTCATTTTCAGAAGTCTCAGCGTCTGATTTAACAACACTTTTCGATTCTCGATGTTTGCGTTCTTTTTTCTCTGACTTGTCTTTGTCGTGATGTTTTTTCTTCTCCTTTTTCTTACCTCCTTTTTTGTGATGTTTCTTCTTTTTATCCCGGCTTTTTTCGGAATCTTCATCACTTGATGCCAAAAATGGGTCTGTGCCTTCAGATTCTTCATCGCTTTTATTCTTTTTCTTCTTTTTTCCTGTAGTTTTTGGAATCAATTTAAGTATGACCGCTGGTTTTTATGAACTTGGAATTTTGTTCAGTAGCATTGGTGATTAACCCATAATCAAGAATCGGAAAACTTGAACCCGATTAAAGGAAACTATTTTTTGGACTCATCCATCGCCAAAAACTTGTTCGCTGTGTAACTCATTTTGTATGTTTTTAATATACCAGTGAGACCAAAAAAAAAAAAAATTGTCCAATTTTTTCAAAGCGTTTAAAAAATGCAAATATACGACAATAAAGATTTATAATTCCAAGAACCTTTCTGTTTGAAACAATGTGAGAACTATTAATGCAATCTTAGCAAATTGGGACAAAATAATTTTATTCCTAGACATCGAAAAACAAATCAGAACCCAGCCAAAAAAAACTTTCTCGATTCAATTTTGATTGATCTAATTCTCGCTCACGTTGATAGGACAAAATATGTCTCGCCTTTATTACCCCAAATTAACAAGTTTCAAGAATAACAAGGCTGTTCGTATATCAGGGCAAAGCACTGAATGTTCCGACTGCCCCTCAATCTATATTGAATATTTTTAGGGAAAACAAAGTGTTGGTTAAAAACTATAATTTTTGGACAAAATCAAAGATCAAGTGCAAAAATGTGATAGCAAAAGTTGATTTGCAAAAAGTAATATCTATTTGGATCGCCGAAATTTTACTGAATAAAAAACCAATCCAACCATACATATTCCGTTTGCTTCGAAAACCGGAACAATAACTTTACAAAAAAATATGTGCATGAAAAACCCCTTTTTCATTTTTGAGCTCTGAGCTTTGAATTTATAAGAAGAAAAGCACTTCATGATTGCATATTCTAGCTTTTTTCAAAAATTGGAATTACAAAACTGCTCGGTGATATTTAACAATAGGTGGCAATTTCAAGAACAGTGCATAAATTAAATTTGAGAACTTTAATGCATTATATATTCATTTCAATTTCAATCACTTGTTCTAACACTAAGATAGTTTTTGTAAATACATTACTCTGCAAAATGAAATGCTATTCAAACATTCATATTTTAAACCTACTTTGCCTAAAAGTTTGGCTTTTGAAATAATTTTTAAATAAAATGCGAACTATAAAAAAAGCGATGCAGCTATTGAAATTGAACCTCACCTGTTGTAATATATCACCAACTGTTTCTTTAATAACGATGCCCTTTCACATCGATGAAAAAGAATAGTAATTAGTTTTGTGGGATCAAAAGTTCAAACCCATCTAAGTGTATGAAAAAAGATCAAATTTTTTCTTCTTGAGCTCAGACATCAAAATTCTTGGGACTGAGTATAAAATCGTTCCAAAAATGTCTAGTAAAGAGGACCGAAATCGTATTAAACAATTCAACAAAAAAAAGTCGAAACAAAAATAAGTTTTTTTGATTATTTTGTCAACTCCCAGAAATAAATTGATCCCTTTTTTCTTCTCTTTTTTTCCCGAACCCTCTGAATTAGTGTCGACGTCATCAACTTCACTGTCTTTATCCTTCTTCTTCTTCTTGTACCCTTCGTCTTTCTTTCCTTTCTTCTCTTTTTTGTGCTTCTTTTTCTTCCCTTTTTTACTCTTTTTACCTTTTTTCTTTTTGTTTTTCGCTTTCTTTGCCTTCTTACCCGACTTTCCTACTTCATAGAGAGTTTTAATAGAGTCATACGTTCCTTTGTCGTCCTCATCTAGAGGTTGCTTTTGGGCAAAGAACTTGTCGAAGTCTTTGCAGACTCGTTTTACGAACACGATTCCGTCTTGCAACATTCGGTCTTCGTTTTTGACGATGTTGTCAAAGTTCACTTTGCTGCTCTCAGGTGGCAAGGGGGCATCTCTGTGACCACCACTCTGACAGAGCTGAAATATAAACCTCCAATTCATTTCTTTTCATTTTGCCCGCCCTACAAAATCAAAAACTCTAATTAAACGAATTTAGTATTATAGGTTGTTACATTTTTCATAAGTAAAGGTTTTATTTTGTGTATTAATCCAACTAATTTCAAAGAAAATGACCGGGTATTTGTGCTCGGGGTGGTTTTGTTTTTCGAAAAAAATCGACTTTTTAACTATCAACTTTTGACAGATTTTTTTTACATCATCGAAAGGCCTTGTTGCCTTAAGCTCAAATTCGAAAAGATATTTCACTTGTGATCAATTTTTATAAGTTATGGGGGGTTTGTTTAAAGACTGCCAATTTGGCCAATGTGCGACAATTAACGCGCGATATATTTCGTGCTATTAACGAGACAGCGGAGTTGTAATCCGTCTTAGAAATCGTTCCGAATTGAATTGAGACATGCTCTTTGGTCTATTTATTACCCTTGTTCTATGCAAAATAAATCACCTTGTACTTTAAATAGCGTGTTGGGAGGATGATTTAAAAAAAAACTCTCTTAAAATGTTTTCATTTTTTTTGTTTATTTTCTTAATTTAAATGTGTGTTCAGTTTTTGAAAATTTCCTTGAAAATCAACTTGACCTACACAACGGTATTCAGTAAGTTCATTGGCACTTGAATGGAAATGTTTTAATTTATGCACAAATGGTCATTCGGTATGTTTTTTTTTGGAAATTTATGAGGGTTTAAAGATAGTTTTCGTGCTAATAATTTAATCTGTCTTAGAAGTGTTTTCAAATTAGTTGAAACAGGCTAGTTGTCATAATTGCTACGCTACTAGGAAAAAAATTCTCAAAACTCCAAACGTTTTTTGAAGAATTCATCAATTCTTTGAAAATTAATAGCTACATAGTTCTTGAAAGGCAGTCGAAACATTCAGGGTTTTCCCTAATACAAGCTATTTTGTTATTTTTGGAAGGTTAGTTTTGTTAAGTTTTCTCAAATTGGCTTAGGATTAGACAAAAAATGAAGGAAACAAAAGTTGCTTAGATTTTCATTAGAATTATTGATGTTGTTTTTTGAAATTCGCAACCAAAATTTTACACTAAAATGAGTTATATTGGCCTTTTATATTTAATCAAGAATTACGCTGAAACTAACAAATTAATTGAAAAGAAACTTTTTTTTCAAAGAAACCTCTTACACAGCACAACAAAACTCTTGAAAAGTAAACTTGCTCAAAAAGCTTGAAATTTGTTTTAGGCCCAATTTTTTTACTTATTCAGTGAAAACATCCTTTTTTGGCTATAAAATTGCTTTTCAGTTTTCCAATATTGTTCGCTGGGTCCGGTTACATTAAATCAGCGCTGTGTGTCT